CGTGTTTTGCAAGCATGGGGTAACTACAGTTTAGGTCCCTTCTCCTTTGTAATGCTTTATTTAAGTCATTTAATGAAATTATTATTGTTTTATTTCGAGCCTTTTAGTTTTTAATGATTGCATTTCAGTCATTAATTTGTATATTATGTTTGCTGATATTATAATTTGGTTGTGATATTTATATTTATTTCGTTTTAGTCACTATTTCAGTTTATTGTGCATTTTCCTTTGATATTCGGATTTGGTCCTGAAATTTGCAAATGTTATATATTAGTCCCTGTTCATGTTTTATATCATATTTGTCTATATTTGATTCTGGATTTAATATTTTCAAATATTTTAATTTAATCACTGATCCCATGCATTTTATTATCTTTACTGTTATTTGAGTTTGGTCATCATATTCGTATATATTCTATTTTAGTCATTGTTTGATGTTTGGTTTAATGTCTATTTTATTTTCTTTTGTTTTGGGCATCTATGTTTCCTTGTTTATTTTAGTCCTACTAATGTATGTTATGTCATTTTTGTGGATATTTGACTTTGGTCCCAATGTTTGTAATAGTTTCATTTTAGCCCCTGAGTTTATATGTTATGTATTGTGGCTGAGTTTCGAATTTATCTCTGACATTTATAAATATTATATTTTAGTCACTGATCTTAGGTGTTGTGTACTTTCTCTGATATTCAAATTTGGCTATGATAGTTATAAATATATTATTTTAGTCATTATCTTACTTTTGGTTTAATTATGATTCGGCCTTCATGTTTTTGGTTATTGCAGTTTAGTCCTAGATGTTGTTTATGGTTTATTTTCATTTCTAGTGCTTGTAAATGTTTAATATTTTGATTCTGGCTCTGTTTTTTATTTACCGCTTAATCCCTTCATATTTCTATTTATTTCATTTTAGTCCTTTGAAATTCATGTTTGTACTATTTTGGTCCTTTGAGTTTATATGTTGTTATTTTGGGTTTTTGTAATTCAAAGTACTTTTTTGTCATTATAGTTTGGTTTGTAATATTAATTTTCTTTTATTTTAATCCCCTATGTATGTACATTTTTCATGTTATGTATCTATTTGTACCATATGTAATTAAATATGTTTAATTTTATTTGTTGTAAATATTTATTTCACATATTTCTATTTCTATTTATTTCCATTTTTCTTTATTTAAATATTGTCCAAATACTTTTAAGAACACGTATGCGTAGAATGAGCGTGGAAAGTATCACTTGGTCGAAGTGGTGCGATCCGATACGGCATTTTAACGACATAGTAACTTAAAATAAGTTGAGTATATTTTGTTAATTTGTGCAAATGATGCAATGTGTGTTATTTTAAATAGTAATTTATTTTACTTTATGTAAATATAAACTTCAAATTTTTTTCTATTTTATTTTCGATTCATGTTTTAGTTAATCAATTTATTTTGTTGTATGCAAACGTCAATTTTATTCATATTCGATTCACATTTTATCAAGAGGGAAATATTCTTTATAGATGAGAAATAGTCGAGTTAGCTTTCCCGATGGAGGATTGCTAATTTCGAGATTTCTTTTCGAGTTAAAGAATTTTCTCTAATTATTTAATTCGAAGCAAATTAATCAACGTTCGATAAATAGATCATATTTTAACTTTATATTTGATTTATAATTTCCACCATTTACAACGATGTGTAAGCGACACAGTACCAATTTTGGGCGCTGTGGGGGTGCTTACCCTTCCCCACACGTAACCGACTCCCGAACCCGTTAAATTTGATTTCTGGTAAATGTAGACCATTTTTGTCTTAAAAAAAATGATTTTTCTTAAATTTCTTTTAAAAAGACGTTTTTAGGTATTCGACCTACCTAACCCAAAGGTCGATGGCGACTCTATTCAAGTTAATCCAAATTAATCCAAATCACCCATTTTTTCCAAATTAAAGTCATAATTGTTTTTAAAAATAATATTTAATTGTTTTACAAAAAAATGGTTATGACAGCTTGGCGACTCCGCTGGGGACTTTTTTTAGAGAGTCAAGCTGTAGGTCGCTTACACATTGTCGTTGTGGTCAAAATTATGAGTTCAATTCTTTAGTTAACTTCTGATCCATTTATTGAAGTTTTTAATTGCTTCATTTTTTATCATACTAACATTTTATCTTTTTGCTTTCAGCTCTGTCCAAGTTTTTGTCGAGTTTTTTCTTTTTCATTTTGAGTCAAAGGTAGGTATGTTCCTCCTCACACACATCACATACATGTGCATAACATAAGCTCCAGACACGAGCTTCGATCCAAATTAGTCGGGGAAAGTGCTTTACTCTCGTAAGAATTTATTCTTCGTATGAGTTTTAGCAAATAACCCATGGGATACATATCTTATACCTTCGTAGGGATTTATTCCTCGTATGGGTATAAGACATTGAATCCCCTCGAATTGAACTCGTTCCGTTAGAAACCTGTAATGGGTGAGGATCGAGGGTTTGGCAGTCCAAGGGGCACCGACATCAAGGACAATTCGAGTCCCCTTTTCCCGTTAGAGCCGAAACCAAGCATATAGTGAACCGTCGAACGATCACCCTAGGTATAGTCATACCGAACCTTTGTCCGTCAGTAGGTACCTAAAATAGGTGTACACAAAGGAGGAATATTTCTAAACCCTTATCTTTTGTTTTAATTTCGTAGAATTTGTTTTCTTTTTGAATAAAAGCATGCGAACTAGATACCATGCGGTTAGGACCATTTTTTGAAATTATTCATTTTGGGTAGATAACATGTACGGGTAGGACTATTATCTATTTAAAGCATGCTCGGGTAGATATCATGATGGGTATGTGTTATATTCATCTTTTAATAACACTTTTATCTATATCGATTGTCTTACCTGTACTAACTAATTTCTTTTATTTTCTTTGTGTGCACTAACTTATTTATTTTCTGTTGTTTTTGTTTTTTTTTCTTCTTTACATTGCATCATCATAACATAATGCGAAAATGTTGATCAGCAAGGGGATATTCGAGAGAAAATTTTCACAAGAAGAGATAAAAGTTTTCAACCAAGCAGTCGCGTACACAGACATGCACCGAAGGCTAAAAAGAAATGCACAGAGTACGAGAAGGAGACTTGCTCAAGACGATCGTGCAACGTTCGAGAATAAAATGATGAGCCACTGATCCGATGAGTGATCCAGCAGTCGATTTTTATCTACGATCATTTCATCGCTATTTATCAAGGAGCGGCACACTGACTTCCGCACCACTGGGGCATTAACAGAGTTAGGTTACAGAATGTTTTAGGGGCATCAGTTCCAAATACAAAGATCCGAGACAAAGCAGTGAGCTCGAAGATCGTGCAACATTTAAGACTGAAGTCTGGGGATTAATCCAGCAGTAGATTTATTTACGATCGTTCCGACGTTATTCATCGAAGAGTGATGCACTGACTTCAGCATCGCCGGGGCATTAAAAGAGTTTGTTTACATAGCGCTTGAGGGGCATCATTATTGAGGACGAAGATCCGATATGAAGCAGTGATCCATTCCAGGCTCACCATCTAAGCGAAGGCATGTCTGTGAAGTGGATTGTTTTGTAATGTGAAGGTTTTTATTTCTGGTGAAAATTATTCTACGATATTCATCGTTGGGATCAACATTTTTGCATCTTCATTTGCATCCTTGCATTTTATGCATATGTATTTTATTTTTAAGCATTTTCATATGCATCATTCATAAAAACATGGGATCAATTTGTGGAGAAGTCAGTGGAAGTGATCCTGATCACGTGACCATATTGAGAATATAAGCAAGAAGCTGAAATCAACACGATAGAAGCTTGTTCGATTGAGTCTTCCAGGATGGTTCGAGAAAAGAGTCATCGTTCCCTGAGGTCTACGATGTTGATCCATTGCACAATTTCCATCTAAGAAGCTCCAGACATTCCACTGAGAACTGCAAGACACTAAAGCACAAAATCCATAATATGATTTATTCAGGGGTATCCTAATACTAAGCCAGAGAAGTCATTGCATCAACCACTTGCATCCATAGAGATTGTTTTGTTTGAACTCGTTTTTGTTCTTTCTTCAATATTTGCTTAAATATTTTTAAGCTTTGATGACTGAAATGATACTACCTTCTAAGGTTAAATAATTGAACAAATTTTAATCTTTAGTTCTTTGAATATCGAATGAATTACATATTCTTTTAATTCTTCAAGAATTATAGATTTTTGACATATGGCAAGATTAGACCTATTTTATTCTGTCTAAACCCAAAATAAAATCTCTCAATTTTTACCCGAAATAATTCCTGGTCACTACCAAATAACCAATTTTTGACATTCTATCTCTTTGAGACCTTGAAACATTCTTTCCACTTTGAAACACTGTATTTATTTTTGAGACACAAAAGTTATACCCATACCTTTCTTTGAGCCAATAAAGTCACCATCGTCTTCTTAGACGTAAAACCAACATTTTTCTACCAATAAAACCTACAGACATTGAGTACAAGATGTTCACTTGAACATAAACCTTCCTACAAAGAAGACACAGTGTGGGGCATCTCGCATCAATTTTCTGAAAACGAACATGAGCAATTGAGACATGTTGAGAGCAAGAAGCGAAGAAAAAAATAGAATTCATTCAAAATAATTCTATCATGCATTAATTACTGTTTTCATTTAAATAAAAATTAATCCTGAAAATCTATCCCCTGGGGATACCTCTTCTGCAAGGACTTCTGTGTATGAGATGATGAACGGCTTTCTTTCTTTATCCCTTCACAAAAGGAGAAAATATATCCCTTGTGTCCCCATTTGAGCCTGAATGATATTTTATTCTGATTCAACCCTAACCAAGGATCACCCTCCACACTGGGGGGCAAGTTGGAGGAAATCTGCGCATGAGTAAATACATTGATCCAGATGAGATACTGAAAGGTGAACCAAACATCAAGTGCGAAGATCCAATCAAAAACAAAGAAAAATCAAAGAGAAAAGAGCAAAGAAAAAAACAAAGAGAAGAGAGAAAAAAATCAAAGCAAAAACAAAGAAAAATCAAAGCAAAAGTCAAAGAAAAAAGCAAAGAACAAAAAGAGGACAAAGAACACAGACAAAGAGTCTCCTGACTCAAATGACGCATTGAGCTTCAAACCGTGAGATTAATCAAACACAATCACTCTAGAATCACTTGACTCGAAGATCATAAAACATCAAGAGAAAGACATGCGAGTAGATCCAAATTGAGCAAGACAAGATTGAAGGCATCAGAGTTAATTGATCCTTGGTTCAATCACCTTTAAACACTTGTTTGGGCCTTTTATCCCTTTCTTTCATAACCCTGAACCATGGCCTACATTACGTGCCTTAAAAGTCCATTCTAATCATACATAGATTTCTAAACAGAAGAGACTATCTTCATATTTCATCCCGTCCGTCAGGATTAATCTTTTATTTTCAAAAAAAAAGTTTTCTAAAATCTTTAATGCATGATAGAGAAAAATAACAAAGGGGGGTTAAAGACGTAAAATTCTGAGTAACGTCTTGAAACCAAAGGAGGATTCGAGTTGAAAACCTGAAAGGGCGGCTCGAATATGAAGATTATTACATAGGAGACGATTGCTCAAATCCCTTGATGAGGCATCACACAACATGAATGAGAACATGAGAGTTGGGAGTCAGAGAACACTTCCAATAACTGAGTACAGAAGCTACTCCATCAGATCAGAGAACATCAAATAAATGGGAATATCATACCTTTGACCAAAAATAACCACTTGAGACTTTTATCCTTCCTTACTTAACCATCTCTCAAAGATAGCATTGATCTTGACACTTGTCAAATAGCTATAATTTATTGAGGGATTAAAAGAGTAATTAATTCTTTGATATCCAATGAACTCTTGTTTTATGATTTGTCAATTGTGAAACCTTGAAAGGAGCAATATTTTCAAAACTTTTGATTAAACATTTTTCAAAACTATTAATATTTTCAGACTTTTGAAAATAAAAGAAGAAGAAAAACATTTTCAAACAAGATAATCTCTTGAGGCGTATCTTGGAATTAAAAAATATCTATCTGAAGCTCAAGATCGAAGCTAGGGCAAGAGAAGCTAAATTTTAGGGCAAAATTTGATGGAACAAACAAATGGTCTCAGGTCAAGGTTTGTAAGAGTACACATTGGTGGAAATACGGACAAGTTGAATCAATGATAGAGTGAAGATTGCTCTCGCGATCATTCTCCTTCTAGATCGAGAAGAGTATACACATACATACATACGTATACACATACATACATATATACATACATACATACATATATACATACATACATATACATACATGATACATAAATTTTGCATCAAACATTTATCATCATGCGTATTAAAGACATTTTTCTCCTCGCTTGAGGATAAATTCAATAAAAAAATCAAATAAATTTCATCTTGACATCCATCATAACATCCAAGATAGTCAGTCAAAAATACATCATTTTGATCTTTCAGGAAATCAAAGCTCAGAAATGACCAGATATCTCTAACTTGAAGAAGCAATGATTTGACTTCTTGAAGTCAATAATCAAGACATTTCCTCAACATACAGGAACAAGAAGACTATCTATCACCTTTGAGTTTTTTTTTATTGAAGTAAAATTCAGTCTCTTGAGACATTTTTCCACAAATTTTGAGATTTTTCTAAAAACAAATTTTGTCTCGCTTGAGACAATTTATTTCAAAACAAATTTTGTCTCGCTTGAGACAATTTATTTCAAAACAAATTTTGTCTCATTTGAGACATTTTCCCTTTGAGATCCGAATTTGTTTCACATTAAACAAAGTTGATCTCATTTGAGATCGTATCTATTTCAAAACAAATTTCGTCTCGCTTGAGACATTTTTCCACAAATTTTGAGAATTTTAAAACAAATTGCGTCTCGCTTGAGACATTTTTCCTTTGAGATACAAATTTTGAATTTGATTCACTAAAAACAAAATCTCACCTTAGATTGTTGTTTCTTTCAAAACAAATTTTGTCTCGCTTGAGACCTTTTCCCTTTGAGATCCAAATTTCGAATTTGTTTCACATTAAACAAAGTTGATCTCACTTGAGATCGTTTCTCAAAAACAAACTTTGTCTCGCTTGAGACAATTTCTCTAAAAACAGATTTTGTCTCATTTGAGACTATATCAAAAACAAACTTTGTCTCATTTGAGACTATATCTTAAAGCAAATTTCGTCTCGCTTGGGACATCATTTTCTCTCATAATACAAATTTCAAGGTTGTTGTACTTAAAGCAAAATTAATATCACTTGAGATTTTCAAAGCTGATTTGTCTCGCAAGAGACATTTCCCCTCTTAACAAATCCTGAAATTGTTTCATTTGAAACAAAATAAACACTTTTGAAAACCACCCTTGAGATCATTTCCATATAAACAAAATTGACAATATTTGAATCTTTTAAAACGATTTTTTTGTCTCTCTTGAGACAGTTTCTCTTGAAAAAAAATCTTTGAGTTTGTTCCTTTAGAATAAAAATCTTGGAGTTTGTTCCTTTTGAATAAATATCTTTGAGTTGTTTCTTTTGAAAAATCTTTGAGTCTATTTATTTTGAAACAAAGTTTTGTCTCTCTTGAGACAATTTCGTGAAAAATCTTTGAGTCTGAAACAAAGTTTTGTCTCTCCTGAGACAATTTTGTGAAAAAAAAAAATCTTTGAGATTGTTTCTTTTGAAAAAAATCTTTGAGTTTGTTTCTTTGGAAACAAAATTTTGTCTCTCTTAAGATAATTTCTTTTGAAAAAAATCTTTGAATCTGTTTCGCTTAAAATGAATTTTGTATCTCTTGAGACAGTTTCTCTTGAATTAAATCTTTGAATATGTTCATTTTGAAAATCTTTGAGTTTGTTTCTCTTAACAAAATCATCTTTGAGTCTATTTCTTTAAAAACAAATGTTGTCTCTCTTGAGACAGTTTTTAATGGAAAACTAACTTTTGAGATTGTTTCATTTGAAACAAATTTGGTCTCACTTAAGATGAGATCCATCTTTGAGTCTGTTTCTTTTGAAACAAAATTTTATCTCTTAAAGACAATTTCTTTTGGAAAAATCTTTGAGTTTGTTTCCTTTGAAACAAAATTTTGTCTCTCGAGACAACTTCTTTTGAAAATGCCCACATTTGAGATCGTTTAGACAATTTCTTTTAAAACTACCCACCTTTGAGATTGTTTTTATTAAAACAAATTTTGACTCTCTTGAGGCAGTTTCTCTAGAAATACAAAATCTTTGAGTTTGTTTCACTTGAAATAAAACCATTTTTGAGTCGTTTCACTTGAAACATTTTCTCTTGAAACATTTTCTCTTAAAACAAGATCATCTTTGAGTTGGTTTCTCTGAAAACAATGTTTTATCCCTTAAAACAATTTCTTTTGAAGAAAAATCATTGAGGCTATTTCTTTGGAAACAAAATTTTGTCTCACTAAGATACCATTTTCTGAAAAACAAAGTTTTGTCTCTTATGACAATGTCTTTTCAAAAAAAAAAAAAATCATTGAATCTCTTTCTTTGGAAACAAAATTTTGTTTCTCTCGAGACAGTTTCTTTGAGAAAAATCTTTGAGTTTGTTTCTTTGGAAATAAATTTTACCATCATTTGAATCTGTTTTTCTTGAAACAAAACAAACAAAGTCTTTGAGTATGTTTTTCTTAAAACAAAAAAACATCTTTGAGTTTGTTTCTCTCGAAACACTAATCTTTGAGATCAATTCCCTTTAAACGAATTTTGTCTCATTTGAGACAGTTTCCCTTTAAACGTCGTCTTTGAGTCGTTTCCCTTAAAACGAATTTTGTCTCTTTTGAGACAGTTGCTTTTAAAAAAAAATATCATCTTTGAGTTCATTTTTCTTGAAACAAATCTCTGGGTTTGTTTCTTTTGAAACAAATCTTTAATTTGGTTTCTCTTGAAACCATGACTCCTAAAGATGGCCAGCCGTCCTCATCATGTAGGAACCATGTCATCACCAGACCAGATCTCCTCATCACGTAGGAGCCGTGTCAACCATAGATAACCAGCCGTCCTCATCACGTAGGAACCGTGTTATCACTTTTAGATGGCCAGAACTCTTCATCACGTATGAGCCGTGTCATTCCCCAGATCAGATCTCCTCATCACGTAGGAGCCGTGTCAACCATAGATAACCAGTCGTCCCCATCACGTAGGAACCGAGTTATCACCCTTCCTAAAGATGGCCAAGAACTCTTCATCATGTATGAGCAGTGTCATCCCTCGACTAGATTTCCTCATCACGTAGGAACCATGTCACCCTTAGACGATAAGAACTCTTCATCACGTATGAGCAGTGGCGTCCCCAACAACCAACATTATCCAATTTATAGGAAAATGAAAGAGAACCAGACAAAAACGTGTTGTATTGTCGTCTTTGCCCTATTCTTGTTAACACAAGAATGTGCAAAGAGGGGCAGCTGTAGACACTCGTTTTTGTCCGGGTCTTTTTTGTATATTATTATTATTATTATTATTATTATTATTATTTAATTTACATTTACAAATTTTTGCAGGCCTAATCCCTAAGCCCAACAGCATACCCAACAAGCTGGAGCAGACCCGGTTCAGGCCCAATACCAATCCCATGCCCACTTGACAACCCAGCTAGGGTTTCATCTCAATGTTCCAGTCGCTCGAGATTTCAGCCGTTGGATCAGATTTGATCCAACGGTCCAAAGGGACCCTAGTTAGGGTTTTAAACCCTAAATTGAAGCTCAGCCGTCGTCGCCTTTTAGCCTCTCAGCCGAGTGAGTGCCGCCGACGATCCCAAGCCACCGCCGTTGTCATCCAGCTTCCAAACAGTAACTGAACGTCATCCACAGTGCCCAAATCAGTCAAAAAAATATATCAAATCTAAAACCCATTAAAATATCATTCTAAATCCCGATTTTTTCGGGATTCAATCGTACCAAATCAGAGAAACAATCCCCATACCCCGTAGGCTTCATGATTTCATTCAAAACCCCTA